TGGGAAGGAATTCCTGGCTGGGATGGAATTCCCAGAGCAGCTGGGGCTGTCCCTGGATCCCTGGCAGTGCCCAAGGCCAGGCTGGACGGGTTTGGAGCAGCCTGGGATGGTGGGAGGTGTCTCTGCCATGGCAGGGGTGGAACAGGATGAGATTTCAGGTCCCTTCCACCCCAAACCAGTCTGGGATTCTGTGATGTAACAAATGTGGGGCAGGAATGGGGCTGGACAGACTCTGAGAGGGAAAAGGTTTAACATCTCATCTGAGACAAAAACACAAATATCATCATCTGCTGATCAATCCCTCTCAAACTCTGAAGTGTGTGGAACATTCTCCATCTCCACTTTCATGCCTGACCAAGTGTCTGAATTCCCTTTGGCTAAAGCAAATCCTGCTGCAAGAAAGGCATTTATTCCTCGTTTTGGGAAGGGAGGGAAGAGCAAAAGGAGAAGTGGATTGGGCTCGGGTTTCAGCTCTGGAGCTGCGGGGAGGGAGCGCAGCAGTGTCCGGGCAGAGCCATCTCGTGGTGTCACCTGCAGCCCCAGAGCCACTGCCAGAATGGTTCAATTAAAGCAACCTCATCCCTCGGGCTGGAGTCCTGCAGGGAATGGGATCATTCCCTGATCCCATGGGAATGGGGCCCCTCGGAGCCACCCAAGCCTGCCCCGGCCCTGTGCGGAGCGGAATGCAGGGGAATAAAATGAATAAAATGAAATGAAATAGAATTATAGAATTGTAATAATGAAAAGAGAGAGGGGGATTGCTCAGCCTGGACAAAAGGAGGTTCAGGGGGAATTTCTGGCTCTGCACAAGTCCCTGACAGGAGGGGACAGCCGGGGGGGTCGGGCTCTGCTCCCAGGAACAGGGACAGGAGGAGAGGGAACGGCCTCAGGCTGGGCCAGGCAGGCTCAGTTGGAAATTGGGAATATTCCTTCCCCAAAAAGGCTCTCCAGGCCTGGCCCAGCTGCCCAGGGGTTCAGTCCCCCTTGCTGGAGGGATTTCAAATCCCTGTGGATGTGGCACTTGGGGACACGCTCAGTGCTGGGGGACAGGTGGGCTCGATGGGCTCTGAGGGCTTTTCCAACCTCAGCAATTCCCTCACTCTATGAATAAAACCCAAGGGGAAGCTGTGATGCCCAAAGCCCTGGGTAGCAGGCACTGACCCAGCCAGCTGTCCCAGTTTGTACTGGGCAGGATGTTCTGTACTGGGGGATGTCCCTCGGGGATCAGCCATGCCCCACACCTCCCAACAGCTGCTCCCTGCCTGAGCTGGGAAAGCAAAAACTCCTCGATCCAGAGTGGGCAGGGCTCAGGAACAATAAACTGTGCTCCCAACACTGTTCTCACACCCAGCTCCAAACACAGCCACCATGGAGAAAACTGACTCCATCCCAGCCTGGATCAGGACAATCCCCCCAAAAAACCTGGATTCAAGGTTAAACTCACCAAGGAGTTTGTGAGCGGTGCAAGAAGGCAAAACACAGGCACTGAGCACAAGGCCATCAGCACAGACCTGCCCTTTGGTCTGTGTTCACATTCCCTAACCAGGAACACAATTCCCACCAGGGACACAAATCCCTATCAGGAACACAAATCCCTGTCAGGAACACAATTCCTCACCAGGAACACAACTCCCCACAATTCCCACCATGAACACAATTCCTAACCAGGAACACAATTCCTCACCAGGGACACAATTCCCACCAGGAACACAATTCCTCACCAGGAAAACAAATCCCTGTCAGGAACACAATTCCTCACCAGGAACACAATTCCCACCAGGGACACAAATCCCTATCAGGAACACAATTCCTCACCAGGAACACAATTCCTAACCAGGAACACAATTCCTCACCAGGTACACAAATCCCTATCAGAAACACAATTCCTAACCAGGAACACAATTCCTCACCAGGAACACAAATCCCTATCAGAAACACAATTCCTCACCAGGAACACAATTCCCACCAGGATCACAGTTCCCTATCAGGAACACAATTCCCCACAATTCCTCACCAGGATCACAATTCCTGGTCCTCACTTCAACTAAAACATTCCCCACGAGCTCTGCTGCACCTGGTTAACCCCCAATGTTTTCCTTTCCTTTGGAATGTGCTCCCACCTAAAATCCTCTCCTCCTCACCTTCACCCCATCACGAGCAGCTGAAGGGAACTGCTGCTGCTGCCATCCCTTGCTGTTATGGAAGGCCCACAAAGCCATCAGAGGATTATCCCAGAATTTGCCAAATTACCATGTCCAGCCAGGTGTGAGGAACAGTAAAGCCATTTCTCCCTGGTATTTTATAAGTTAACCATTATTAAAGCTTTATTCTAGGACAGATTTGTAGGTGAGCAGACGACTGCTCATCACAAATCCCTGCTCTCCACCCCTCTGCACTCAGCCAGCCCCATGCTGGAGCCCAACTCAACTTTAAACTCGCCTAATCTGGCTCCTGGGTTTAGGAAAAAAACCTGAAGGAAAACCCTGGAGCAGAGCTGGAGCAGCTAAAGCCTGACAGGATGGAGGACTGAGCCTCTTCTGACCGGGGAAAGACAATCTCAGGAGCACAGACCGAGATGTCAGAACACATTTGTGCCTTTTAACATAAATAAATGAACAAGTGGAGGCTGAAAAGCCTCTGCAGGCTGCTCCTCTCCCTCAGGAAAGCCAGGCTGTTTGGATCCAGGGGTGAGGAACTCTTGCTGCTGTTCCCCAAAAACTTGATGTTACACTCAAACATGGAACAACACCACCAAGACCCCCTTAGGACCCTGTAAATCTCACCCAGCCCTCATTTATTCTGGAGCCTCAATAAATGAAGCTCATTCAGCTTTACTATCTTTTTAAACAGTGACAAATATTAAATAAATTCCATGGAAGAAATAGGAAAAACAAGTTAGAGAAATGAAACATTCCAGGACCAAATCCTAAGCCTGGTCTGTTTTAGGCTTCAGTGCTTTCCTGCTGGGACAAGGTGGGAAAGCTGAACAACTCCAGGAATTCCTTGGGCACCTCCAGGGATGGGCACTCCAAACCTCCCTGGGCAGCCCCTGCCAGAGTTTAACAACCCTTTCCATAAAGGAATTCCTCCTGGAATTCTGCTTCTTCCCCTCCAGAATTTCTGCCTGAGCTTTGCCCACAGGAGCCAGCCTTTCTCTCACAGAGAGTTTTAATAACTGAGCAAACCCACGAGGCCTCATTACCCCCACCAAGATCCTGGAGTGATGTGAAATAATGAGTTGGGATAGCAGTGCCCAAGGATACATGGCTGGGAGGACACACTTAAGGGATTTGTATTTTAAACCAATATTGGGTAATGATTTTAGCACTGAGAAATCCTGGTGCTGAGACGGTTTAGGATCTGCAGCTCCCACAACAAAGGATTGCTTTAAAATATCCTCAAATCATGTACAAGGTGTTAACAAGTCCTCGTTTTTCTCTGCCTCTGCAGTGCTAAAATGGAAATGAAATAAATAATGCACATCTGAACTGGCCAAAGTTCCAAGTTTTGTAACAATCTCTTTGTCCATTCCCATCCTTCCTGCTCGTTTGGTGCCATTTAATAACTGTGTCAGCATGGAAAAGTCCAAGTTACATCTCCTGTTTCACAAGGCACCCCATGCACTTCTAAACAAAGCAAATAAATGCCTGAAACAGAGCAGAATTCCCCATGCTGTGCTCCTGGAGGTTCTGTTTATTCTGAGGAATCACACCTCACCTTCCTCAACACTGATGAGCAGCAGGATTAAGGCAAAAACTTCTTCTGAAGGAAGTCATCAGGTTACCAAGGGTTTCCTCTTCTACACAGCACAGATCAAGGCCACAAAACAAATAAAATCAACAAGGCACTGCTGCTCCCAGGTGACAATTCCCACTTGGGCAGGGAGGGAACAGCACACAAGCAAAGGGAGCAATAATTTCAATTCCTCCCTGGGAAAAAATCCCAATGGATGACCCCCAAACCTTACTCTTTTCCCTTTCATATAGGAAAGCATCTGTTTAAAACTCTCCTTTTCCTAAAGAATTTTTGATAACACTTTTAACACAAATAAATTGGTGATGTTCCACCTCAAACTCCTGGGGCAGTTCTGGTGTTCCCAGGTCCAGGAACGACCCTGAGGGGAAAGGGAACCTGGGGAAGGGTCTCAGGCAGCTGAGGGAGCTGGGAAAGGAGCTGGAGAATTCCTGAGAGCGCTGGGAAAGGGCTGGAGAATTCCAGAGGGAGCTGGGAAAGGGCTGGAGAATTCCTGAGGGAGCTGGGAAGGGGCTGGAGAATTCCTGAGGGAGCTGGGAATGGGCTGGAGAATTCCTGAGGGAGCTGGAAAGGGGCTCAGCCTGGAGCAAAGGAGGATCAGGGGGAATTTCTGGCTCTGCACAAGTCCCTGGCAGGAGGGGACAGCCGGGGAACAGGGACAGGAGGAGAGGGAACAGCCTCAGGCTGGGCCAGGGGAGGTTCAATTGGAAATTGGGAAAATTCCTTCCCCAAAAAGCCCCTCCAGGCCTGGCCCAGCTGCCCAGGGCAGGGGTGGAGTTGTTGGAGGGATTTAAATCCCTGTGGATGTGGCACCTGGGGACACTGTCAGGGCTGGCCTTGGCAGTGCTGGGGGAACTGCTGGGTTTGATGATCTCAAAGATCTTTTCCAACCTTAATGATTCCATGATTCTAAATATCAGCTGGGCTGGAAAAGCGTTCAATAGCACGTTTTGGTACCATGCACATCCAAAAGAAACACAAATAAATAAAACCTTGGATCAGAACCATGGGATTTAGCTGTTAAACATTTGGAGTGAAGCTCACAGACAGATGATGAAGATTCCCTTCTGCTGACCTCACCATCCACCTTTCTTCCTTGGATTTGCCATCCCTGGAGTGGTGGCACCTCGCACAGCTCTGCTATTTTGGGACACTGCTTGTGGAGCATGGCAACCACAAAATTTGCTCAATGCTGTCTCTGAGAGCCCCAAAAGCCCCCAGCCTCAAACATTAATGTAAAACAACAAACAGGGTTTGATCTTTGTTTGAAACAAAGCACCAGAGGAACTCCTGTCTCAGCAGCATCACGGTGAGCGCAGGCTTTCCCTGACGTCTGAGTTTTTGGGACACTTACGTTCCACGGGAATTCCATCCACGTGGCTTTTGCTTTTGGGTTCCTGGCTCCCAGGCTTTGCATCATCCTCATCATCCAGCAGTGGCACATAGTCTGTCTTATCCACCGTCTCTCCAACCACGTCATCGAATTTCTCGGCCTCCAGCGTGGCGATGAAATCTCGTTTGACCTCGTCCTCGACGTCGTGGGGCGGCTCCGTCAGCGCGTCGGCCAGGCTCAGGTTGTGGTCCAGGTCAGCCATGCCTGAGCACCAGGGAGACAAGGAGACATTTCAGCAGAGATCTCTCCATTTTCTTCTGTGAAAAATGGGCTTTGTATATTTTTTATAGAATTTAGGAGTTTAATAAAAAGACAATTAGGAGATAAAAATAAAGTAAACTATACTGATAGGGCCGGGTGTCTCTGCATTCACCTCACTGACAAAGGATTGTCCCTTAAAAACAGAACCCTACTACATATCCATAAATTCTCATACATATTCAGACATTCTATTTAGGATTTTTGGTGTTCCCCTGTTTAGTTTTTCCTTGCCCCCCTTCCCAATAGATCAATCTTCTTGGTGTCACTGGGTTTTTTGTCCTTTGATAACGGGAGCTATAAATTTTTCCTTTGGAGGGCTTGGAGGATTGCTGGTCTCCATCTGCACAAGATAATCTTAGGATGCAGGGGGGTCTCTGACTATTTTCTTTTCTAGTCTCTGGGTTATATAAACAAAAAGTAGTTTAATATCATGTTACAGCCTAACATTTATGTATTATATCACTATTTCTAAGTTTCAGCAATAACAGCAATAAAGGAAACTATATTAATACAACAAAATTTTCTAATCTTATACATATTCATTATAATATTTGTGAAAAGCCAGTAATATGATATACATTTATAACACTTCACTTTGGGGCTGAGCCTTTACACCACGGGAAACCTTGGGCTGCTCAGTAATTCCCAGATGTTTCTAAACAGAAATAAACCGGGATCAGCTAAAGCGGGTTTAGCTGAATGTTCCATCTCACGGGGTCTTTTAGCAGAACTTTTAGCATTTTTAAATAAAAAAATGTGAAAAGCAAAGGCCCAGTACCTGGCCAGGATGGCCATGGTGTGCCATTGACTCCTGCCCTGCCCCAGATCTGGAGTTAATTACACCCCTCAGATAAATGACGCAAGAGAATTTAGTGCTGGGCTTGACTCCACCCAGGCTCCCCTGTGGAGATTAGGATTTTACATAATCTCTGATGTATACTTCAGTGCTGCTCCTGATCCCTCCCAGAGGGTCCTGCAGCGTGCTCATGTCCTCAGCAAACCTTGCTAATCCCAGCAAACCCCCTCCAGCCCTGGGATTTGGGAGGGAAAGTGACGTTTTAATAATGTTTACATGAAAAAAAAATACAGCAAAGTGCACACGTAGGTATGAACTGGAAACAGAGGAGTAATCACCAGTTATCCCTCCCTGATTTGCATCTCTGGGTTCAAATTAATTCCTGGCACCAAGCTGAAAAAAAATGCACCTGAACTGACTCATCTCCAACCTTCAGGCCATCACCAATTCTTCACTTTTTCACCTCAAAACCTTTGGAAGTTATTCTTGGGAACAGGAGCCAACAAAAACCGTCCCTGTCCAGCTCTCCTGGAGCCCCTCGAGATCCTGGAAGGGGCTCTGAGGTCTCCCTGGATTTTCCCTGCTGCAGGTGAACATTCCCAGCTCTCCCAGCCTGGCTCCCAAGGAAAACCAGGAGCTGCTGACCCAGAGCTGCAGCCCGAGGGACACAAGGGACACTTGTGTGTGACCCAAGTGCCAGAACACAGATCCTCTTGTTCCCAAAAAAACAAAGGCTCCTACTCCTTGAACTCCAGGAAATTGTGTGTCAGCACTGCAGGGTCACCACATACCTACAGCCTCACATTCCTCAGGAACAATGGTGTCCCACTGCTTGTGCTGTTTCTGTCCTTCCAGACAACTCTGTTATGGAAACTAATTCACTTCAAGCTCTTCTTTTTTGATTCTTTGAACAATAAAAGGTCAGGCTTGCAGGCAGACCACACTTCAGGCAGCAACTGCAGTTCTTGGTGCTTTGGATAAAAACCCTGAATGGCAGCTTGGAAATCCAGAGGTGAAAAGTTTGGAGCTCTTCACCCCCAGTGCAGGGTCACAGTTGAATGAATTATGGTCAGTAAAAAAACAAAACCCATTTTGTATTTAAATGAAAGAGTCTTATCAATGAGGTTTCTGATTCTTTTAAGACAAACCACCATCCAGATGTGCACACAACTGGCTGCATCACCCTGCAGGGAGCACCAGCCAGGGAAGGCATTTCCAAAAGTTCAATCCCTGCACTGAGCAGTCTCCTTCAAGGAACAAATGGGGCTCAGAAAGAGCCAATTTTTCAGGCACATCCTCCATCAACTCCCAAGTGAACTGATGGCTTTAGGTCAGTGAGTCTCAATGTGCAGTGATGAACACTTAATCATCTTCTGAAAATGTCATTTAGCATCAGAAAGGAAAACAATGTTTAGTTTCCCAACAAGCTGCATCATGAGCACAGAGTGACTGAGGCTGGAAAAATCCTCTGAGTCCATCCAGTCCAGCCATCCCTGAGCACTGCCAAGGCCACCCCTGACCGTGTCCCCAAGTGCCACATCCTCAGGGATTTTAAATTCCTTCACCAATGGGGACTGAATCCCTGCCCTGAGCAGCTGGGCCAGGCCTGGAGAGGCTTTTTGGGGAAGGAATATTCCCAATTTCCACCTGAACCTCCCTTGGGCCAGCTGGAGCTGTTTCCTCTTGTCCTGTCCCTGTTCTCTGGGAGCAGATTCCGACATGGAGTGGCTGCACTCCATGGAACAGCTGCCATAAAATATAAAATATAAAATATAAAATATAAAATATAAAATATAAAATATATGGCATTTGGGGGCTTTGTGGCACTGCCAGTGCTGCTATTTCAGGCCTACACAGGAATTAGGACACTGGAGTGATCTACTTTCTGGGGAAAAATAATAATGAGGCTATGCAGCCTTATCAGCAGGATATTTCCTTGTCCATATTTAGCTAAATAGGGAATGTAGAAACAATGTGCAAAAATAAACCAGTGTAACTAAGAAAAGGCATTTTAAATACAGCACTGGTGCCTCAGACACGCAGGAGCACCCGGCACAAACTGCAGGGATCCCTCCTCAGCCCAGGTGGGCTCCAAGGACAGCCACAACACCCCTGGGAATTCCTCCTTTTCCCTCTCTGGTGTTACAGCAGCCAAAGGACACCAATTCCCAGCTTCCCAGGGCTTGTCTGCTAACAAAGGCAAGAGGAAAATGAGGATAGTGCAGGGATTGTGCCCAAGGGTAAAGAGCAAATCCTGGAGCATTTTCATGTGCTGAGCAGCTCAGAGAGAGACAGATGCTTCCTACCCCATTTCCATTCATACACAACAGAGCTGGCTGGGAAGCAAAAAGAATCCTCAGCAAGATGTACCTTAATCCCCTGCCTCCACAGCTCTGAGATCAGAGCTCAGCAGAGCACAGGGAAGATGAATTCTGACACTCACCTTGGGATGAAAGGGAGAAACTGAGGAGTGACAGAGATTTCTGAAGGCAGAGGTTTAAAAATGCACTGAAATTCCTTCCTGGAAAGGCACTGGAACTGCCCAGGGAGGTTTGGAGTCCCCATCCCTGGAGGTGTCCAAGGAATTCCTGGCCATGGCACTCAGTGCTCCAGGCTGGGGACAAGGTGGGGCTCAGTGGCCTTTTCCAGCCTGAGGGATTCAGGGGTTCTGAGGAATTCTCCAGCAGTGGAACAGCTGCTGAGGTCCTGGTGGTTGTTAAATTGGCAGAGAGTGGAGCAGCCCTGGGGTGACACCAACTCTGGGTCTGAATCCAGAACAGCCTCCCAGGACAGCCCAGCCCTCCCTGGCAACACCAAAGGGAGGAGTTTGCTCCAAGGAAAGGTGTGGAAGGAGCAGGGAGCAGCACCACAGCTGCACTGCAGCCAAGGAGAAGGGCTTTCCTGTAGTGACACATTCCAGGAAATCTTCAAATTCCCCCAAAGCACATCAATCATGTTCCTTTAAGTCACACATTATTTTTACTCAGGAGGATTGTTTAGATCTCTCCTGTTCCAGGCACAGCTGATCTGTTACACTCGGGGTTTGCTCCATCTGTTCTTCTCCAGGCTCAGAATCTCTGTGGACTCAGTGAGTAACCTGTTTGCTGGGATCAATAAAATCCATCTCTCCTCAGCTAATCTGAAAGATGCAGCAGGGTTATTTTCATCCCTCACCCACATCACAGACCCTCCATCCTGGTTCTTCCAAAGAGTTCCAACCATTCACTGGATTTTTTTAGCCCCAGCTGCCCCATTCCTGGAAGTGTCCCAGAAGAGTTTGGGTGGAAAGGACCTCAAAGCCCACCCAGTGCCACCCCTGCCATGGCAGGGACACCTCCCACTGTCCCAAGGTGTTCCCAGCCCTGGCCCTGGGCACTGCCAGGGATCCAGAGGCATCACCAACTCCTCAAAGTGTCGAGAACTTTTCTTCAGCAATTTCCTCACCCAGGTTTTACTTCAAGTGACTCCTGGAACAACTTCCCAGAGCCACCATCCCACCCAGCACCCTCTGGAAAAGGAGGCAAATCAAAACCTGCATGAGCCACAGCCTCCAGTTTCCCATCCAGGGAAGAGTGGAATTTATTTCCTCAACTTTGTGCTTCCATTTTGCAGCTTCCCTGACTGCTCTGCTGTGCTCCTGCCTCCAGGAGATTCAGGTTATGATCGGTCTGACCTAGATTTGGAGTCTTGTCTGAAGACAGAGGAAGAGGAGAGAGGTCACAGGGATGAAAGCTGGACATTGTCCCAACAGAACCACCCTCGGTGCAGGACCCTGCCTTGCCCCCCTGGCATTTCTGGCTGCTTTTGCATTTCTGGGAATGCTGCCTTTGCCAGGGGAGGACACACAGACGCTCCCAGCCCTGCAGGGACAGTGCCCCAGAGTCCCAGAGCAGCTCTGCCAGCTCCATCCTGCCCTTCCTGCCAGGGAGGGAGGAGAAACCCACTCCCATCCAGGAGGAACAGCCAAGTAACACTTCCTCACTTTTCCTGGTTTAAAGGAGACTCTGATGCCCAGATTTATGAGAAGCACATCCATTATCCCATCAGATCCACTTGCTCCTTTAAAATTAGCTCCTAACTCCATCCCAAATTAAATGCCTGGCTGGGAGAAACAGGGACAGCTCGGTCATAATTCCCATTTCTCCTG